ATTTATGTCAGTTATTATAATCTGTTCTTGTCACCTGATGGTTTTTGTTCCTGTCTCATTCACTTATTGTCAATGTCTGTATTAGTGGATTTCACTGTTGGGGTAAGTAAAGATATTGTTCCTGAGACAGAGTGTGTCCTTTCTGCTGAGTTTACATTCTCCACATATAGAGGCTGACAAATCAACACGACTCTGAAACCTCTTCCCCTCACGAAGCTCACGTCTAAGTTTCTAGTTGTTTACCCAACAGAAAAACGTCACCCTTGATGTGGAAAGTCCTTTTTGGCCTTATGGCATTTCAAAGTATAACAAAGCGTTAGTTATGTTTTTAGTTTCTCTCTCATGATTCAGTAAGTCTGTCTTGAACAAGGTTTCAACATCTTTCCAACTCGTTCTCTTCTCTTGGTTTAATGCGGTGCCTGTTCTCCATAAGAGGTTCAACAGGAGGAGACGGTTCAGGAGAGAAAGTCCTCAGAAACCCTGTAAACCAGTGGCTTAAATAACGTTCAACACGTATAGTTGAAGAAGAAGAAGGATTAATGACCTGACAGCCAAATGATGAAACTCACAGTGACTGAAATAAATAGATAGATATAACACTTTACAGATGTTACATGGGGGATGTCTGGAGTCTCATTTACTGACGTGACTGTTAGATGTGATATTTATATCTCATTGGCCTCAGAGCTGTCTGTCTGCTGGAGTCCCTTATTTAAAAACCTGCTGTTCTCTGTCTGACTAGTGGACTGTAAGACCCTTTTACCTTGTGCTTTTATATCAGAGTTGATATACTGTCGTGTCTAAGATCCCCAAATATCAGCCTGTAATGAAAAGCCATGGTTTCAAAGTCAACAAATACATGTATTAATGAGATAACTCAGATGAACAGAGCACTATTAAAGCACTCAACTTGATTTAGGAAGCTGATAAAGATTTATTTCAAAGTGAAGCTTTTGACTGTGCAGCAAAAACTAAAGAACTTAAAGTAAATGTATTTTCCATTCAAATCTAGTTAGCGTACTGAAGGTCAAAGCAGTGATTGTCCTGTAAAATATAGTAGTAGTAAAATGTAATAGTAAAATTACTTTTCTGTATATGTATTTAAAGAAAAAGTCCTGATCAGGCAGTAAAATGTACTTCAAGTTTGTGCAGTCAAATGTAGTTAAATGACTCAAGTAAACTATAACCTGTTGGCTCTAGTTTGATCTGCCGCAGTATTTCATATTCTTTAAGATCATCATATGTTTGTATCTCTAAAAAACCTGTGTTCAGATTTGTGACGAGGCTGATCCAAGAGGCGTTTCAAGGTTAACAAGGAGGAGAAGCTTCTCAACACATGAAGCTCAGTGCAAGCTCAGCAGGAAGACGGTCTTTCTAATCTGTCATTCACACATTTCCATTTGACTACGCTCACTGTCGTCTCTATTCGAAGCCAATCACAGCACATCGTCAGACCTTCAGTTATTGCAGGTGACTCAACCGCTGCCGTGGTTTTTGTGGGTCCCGTTGACTCTGCACTGCCAGTCATTCATTTCTCCTTTTTTACCTGAGTACAATGTTGAACTCCCTGTGACCACATTTCACACCATCATGGTCGCACTAGGGCAGGGGTCTTCAACTAAAATTCAACGAGGTCCAGTTAGAGAAAATGTCCCCATGCAAAGGTCCGGAACATCAAAATGTCTAAGTTGCTTTATGAATTAGTGTGATATATATTGAAGTAGCTGTAGCTTTATCAACGTATGCATGTAATCAACAACTGACTGCCAATCAAATAAAGAAAGTACAAAAACAACAATATTTATAGTCAATGAACATTAAACTATACAGATATACAGTACATACTGTGGATATGTGTAATGTTCCTCTCTGGCTGCATTTAAAAATAAAATAGAGAAAATAAATAAAATAGCTTTTGAAAATGTGTGCATCTTAAAAGTGCTTAATTTTAGATAAATAAAATAAAGTGTAGCAGCAGCTTGAGTTTCCCTGTTTCTTTGTTAACCGTTTCACATCATGACTTAACAGTTTCAGCCGATTATAGAACAATATCAGTCTTTACATCATAACAATTTAACAGTTTTCAAGTTTCTCTTTCTTTCCCTCTTATATTGCAGTCCCTCACTCACTTTGTTTAAATTCAGTGTGAGGATTGAGCTCGAGCTTGTCCTGCCAGGAGTTTGGAAATCTGGGCTGAAATGGTGTCAGGGCCGTTCTCACACACATGCAGGTGCTCATTGGTTACAGGGATGCAAACACAGGTATGGTGAAAAAAGAGAGAACTATTCGAAGCAGAAAAAAACAGCGTAATATACCATCTGACAAAGGCCTGTGCTTCAATGCTCCAATTAACTGCTATTCTTTATAATATACTCAGATCAATAGGAGACAGAGATGTTAAGTTATAAATCAAGGGTTTTTATTATTATTTACAGCAGGGGTGGGGAACCTTTTTTCCTTTACATTTTTACAACATCCTCCGAGGGTCGTACAAATTATTGAACTCAACCTTTGCTTAAAAAAACTAAAACCACAGCCCATTCATTTCGCCTTTCTTTCATGCTGTGCAAAGAAAAAGCAACCTCTTAATCCAGATATCTCACCATGATTCACGTAAGCATGCATGTGTGGCATGACCACCAAAAGAAAGATATGGACACAAGATGTGTGCAAATGTATTTAGTATCCTATCCATGTGAACATGATTTAAGTGGGGGGGGGGGGGACCTAACCTCCTCTAGGGGGGTCCGGGGGCATGCTCCTTCGGGAAGATTTTTAATTAAATATTGAAGTTAAAAGCATCAATCTGGTGCACTTTGAGAGCAACATGAAGAGATCTATGGATACATCTTTCAACACCCATTTGAAACAGAACTGTAAGCATATTTTTCTTTTTGGATATTTTACAAATCACTCCCCTTTTAAACTCTATTCTTGTTGTTTTTTAACAACTTTTTGTTACTGTCATATAGTATTTTATACTTGTTTTTCATTTAGTCTCTAATGTCTCATTAATAACTATAATGATCATATCAAGGTGTGCCTTAACCTCACTGAGCTGAGGTTATTTGAGCCTCTCAGGAGAGAGCTCTCTTCCACCTGGTTGTAGAAAAGCTCTTTAAATTCGTTAGCATAGCTAGCTAACCAGATGCTAACAACAACAGATCGCCACTGTGCTTACAACTAAAGACACAGCCACGCAAACACTGCGGCATGTGTACGGCTCCTTATGGGTACTGCAATATTTGAAGGGCTGGAGCGGCGTTGCGGTGCTCTTCGTCAGCACTCCTTTCAGACGAGACATACCACGTGAAGACACTTTACACTCGTGTTGTATTCAAGGAACCTGTCCTTGGCCAGGAAAAACAGGTACTTGTTTGTTTAATTATTTTTGCGGTCTAGATTTCTTCTTCTTTTTTGAAGTGAGTCGGACAGACGGACTCCCCCCCCCCCCCCACCCCCAAAACGAAAACTCTTCGGTTCTCCACAAATTACACAAGTCACCCAAATCAGCGTTAAAAAAGCGGGAGGCGCCGAAAAATCCCCTATTAATGTATTGATTATAGCTCCGGGTCCGTATAGGTCGCCGTGTGGGTCCGGATCCGGACCGCGGTCCGCCTGTTGCCAACCCCTGCACTAGGGAGTTCCACTTTGTGTCCACAGGGCGTGTTGTTGTTTTTTGGCTCAAATCTAGTGTTAGAAGCACATTAAAGCAAGTGACATTAAAGCACAGAAACATTTAGAATAATTGTTTTGGCCATGACGTTGGTGTAAAGTAACTAGGTATATTTACTCAAGTGCTGTACTTAAGTGCAATTATTAAGTACTTAGTACCATGTTATGCTACTTTGTACTTCTACTCCACAACAGTTCAGAGGTACTCCACTACATGTATTGAATACCTTTAGTTACTTTACAGATGTGGATGAATGATGTGAAATCTAATCAAGTGTTAAATCAGACTTTAGTTCCACCTGGAGTAAATCCACAAGCTACCGTGCAGAATACAAAGTCTACGAGCCTCAAGAAGCTCCAGGTTGCATATAATGACTGTTTGCGTATACTGCTTAGAAAACCAAGGTGGTGCAGTGCAAGTGAAATGTTCTGTAACGCACGAGTCAACACGTTCCATGCTCTTTTGAGAAATCGAATGTATAAATTCATCTGTCGATTGAATGTTTCTCATAACTCTGTCATTATGCTGCTGTCAAATCCGTGTTTCAGTGCTGTACGATACCAGTCACCTCTGTGGAAACATTGGTATAACTGCCTTTTTTTATTTATATTTGAGTGTTGTATGTTTTTGTAATAATGGACCAAGAGTCTCTTTAAATAAAGATGATTGATTGAAAGTCATTCAAACTAGCTGCACCTTCACCAGCTTTGAGAACACTTTCATGATCAATCATTATAAAACATATCAGATATATTATTCTGAAATGGACCAATCTGCACAACGACTACTTTCACTGTCGCTACTTTCACTATATTTTGATGAGAATACTTTTCTACTTTTACTTGAGGAACATTTTGAATGCAGGACTTTTACTGTAACAGAGTATTCCTACACTCTGGTACTTCTATTTTTACTCAAGTACAAGATCCGAGTGCTTCTACTTTTACTCAAGTACAAGATCCGAGTCCTTCTACTTTTACTCAAGTACAAGATCCGAGTACTTCTACTTTTACTCAAGTACAAGATCCGAGTACTTCTACTTTTACTCAAGTACAAGATCCGAGTACTTCTACTTTTACTTAAGTACAAGATCCGAGTATTTCTCCCACCTATATATATATATATATATATATATATACATACATACATATATATATATATATATCTGTAATGCCATATCTACACTTTAGCTGCATATGACTATAAAGACGTTGAATCTTGAATATTATTTGAAAAAGTGCTATTTTTCATTTACTTTGAAAAGTATACTCTATGAAGAGACTGTAGCAGAAACCAATCAGGAGAGAGAAACACAAAACACCACTTAAGATTATTTACAGTTGTATTGTTTTTGTCCTCTGGCGTGTAGTGTTGTTATTTACATTTCCCTCTAACAATGTCATGATTTCTCTCATAGAAAAAGGGATTGATTCCCAATATGTGACATTAGAAATGTACTTTAAAGGCAGAGCATGGTAACAATATCCATCAGTAAACAGAGAACAGATTGATGACCTTACAGCTGAATGATAAAACTCACAGTGATGACTGAAATAAATAAGTATAAAAATACACTTTACAGAGGTTACACTGCTCTTTTCTGACTCTTGAATCAGATGTTGGAGAGTCTCACTTCATGCTCAGATTCAGACGGAGACATGTTAGTCCTGATGGTTTGTTCCTCTGATGAACTCTCCATCTGTATGGCTGCATTGTAGGTTCTTCTCTTAAATCGTATTAAAACAATGCAGGCCATGCTGACGACAAAGAGAATCAGAGTTGTTATCACAACGATAAGCCAGAGTCTTCTCGGACTCTCTGCTTGAGGACTCTCTGATGGTCTCTGAGGTTCGAGCTCTTCAGCAGCTGTGGAAAAGGACAGAAAATAACATGAGGAACCATTTTAGTGTTAATATATAACAGGTCTAATCTACGTTAAGTAATCTGAGGTTTCTATAAGTGCTGCCTTACGGAGCCTCTATGGATGTGACATTTAAATCTACTTTGACTTCCTGACTTCTACTGACTTTACTCACCAGTCACATTCAGCCAGCATCTCCCATTGTTCCGTCCATAATCAGTGAACACTTTACAGACATAAAGTCCTGAGTCACTGGTCCTGAGTCTGGAGACATGAAGTGTGAGGCGTCCTTCTGTGAGGACGTCTTTGTCCCACTGGACTCGTCCTGCAAACTCTGGATCCTGAGACTCTGGGGATTCAACGCCTCTCAGAAATCACATTTGGTCATTTTAGTTTATCTCTTAATGAAAGAAAGATAAGATGTACAGTACCCGAAGTGAAGTGTCAGAGTGTTGCAGATTTCAAAGAGTCAGTATTGTGCAATATTCATATTTGCATTAATGTAACACATAGTGTCAAAGAGCTTCTGTTGGTCCACTCGCTGAGTCTGAACCTTCTTCACTGGCTGCTTGTCGTCTGAAGTTAAGAAGCACACGGACACACAGAGCAAGTAGAACAGAAACCAGTGCAATCTCAAAGTAGAGGCCAATCCTTCCCCGTCTTCCTGTGTTGGGAGTCTCAGGTTTGTTTCCTCCTGTGTTGGGAGTCTCAGGTTTGTTCCAATGTGTCGCAGCTGTAAAAACACCAAACAACTCTGTGTCAAAAACATTTCCCTGAAAACTAAAGATCTACAACATTTCTCAGGTTCTCGTACACCCTGGGAGTTTAACATTATTAAAGATTAATGGGGTTTACTCACCAGTGACGTTGAGCCAGCATCTCCTAGAGTTACTCCCATCAGGTCTGACGAGTATGTCACACACATAAAACCCAGAGTCATTGGTCCTGAGTCTGGAGACATGAAGTGTGAGTTGTCCTTCTGTGAGGACGTCTTTGTCCCACTGGACTCGTCCTGCAAACTGTGGATCCTGAGACTCTGGGGATTCAACACCTTGATGGAGATGAAACAGGACTGAGTACCTGCCTTCAGTAAACAACTGACAGAAGGTAGAAATGGATCTGAGGGAAGTTTCTCTTCTGGTGCTGAAGGTCCACTCCAGGGTGATGTTCTGGTTCTCCTCTGCCTGATAGGAAGTCTGAGTCACATTCACTACAAATATTCCTGTGGAGGAGAGACAGAGGGACTCTTTAAACTGCAGCTATGTTTCTGTGGAGGAGACACAGAGGGACTCTTTAAACTGCAGCTATGTTCCTGTGGAGGAGACACAGAGGGACTCTTTAAACTGCAGTGATGTTCCTGTGGAGGAGACACAGAGGGACTCTTTAAACTGCAACTATGTTTCTGTGGAGGAGACACAGAGGGACTCTTTAAACTGCAGCTGTGTTCCTGTGGAGGAGACACAGAGGGACTCTTTAAACTGCAGTGATGTTCCTGTGGAGGAGACACAGAGGGACTCTTTAAACTGCAGCTATGTTCCTGTGGAGGAGACACAGAGGGACTCTTTAAACTGCAGCTATGTTCCTGTGGAGGAGACACAGAGGGACTCTTTAAACTGCAGCTATGTTTCTGTGCTGCTTTACTGAGAACAGCTTTAAAGAGACCAACTGAATTTGACCATAGACAGAGGTCTCCTTAGGTGAGGAAGAGTTTTAGGGTATGAGGGGACATACAGAAGAAAAGGACTATTTTACTTGTTAAGAAAAAGCCAAAATGTTGAGTAAAATAAAATCTTTCAATTTGAGGGCAATTATTAGGAAAAATGTATCAGAAAAAAAAGTTAAGCGCTTTAAAAGTGTAATTATTGAGAATAAACATTGAACTTTTAAGAATAAACTACTTTTGTCAGAGAATATACTGAAAGTTCCACTTCTTGACACTTTGATTTAAAAAAGCTAAATAAATCAGAATCCCCCTCCTCAGTGTTGACCCTCTTTTCTTGCTCTAATAGTGTTCCACACCAAAGAGCTCTAAGATGCTTCTTTAGGAAAAGGTACAACGAGACACAAAAGGTTTTTCAATAATATTCAATGTGTCTAAGTGGGAAATAAAGGAGTACACTAACCAGAGACACAGGGGGTGAGGAAGAGGAGCAGCAGGATGAGGAAGATCATCTTCTCCCTTTGAGAGCACACACACACACACACACACACACACACACACACACACACACACACACACACACACACACACACACACACACAGTCTGTCTTTACCACATGACTTATTGCACAGAGGACTGACACCAGGAACAGTAACACATGTCTGACACTAGGTGGCGCCAGATATCAACATTATATTTAATTTGAACTGAATCAGGAAATACTTTTTGCTTTGAGACCAGGGGCCTCATTTATAACGCTGTGCGTAGGATTCACGTGGGTAGAAATCCAAAAAATAGGTAGGCTACAGAAATGTTCCGACATTTTCCGATTCACCAAACATTGCGTACCGGCGAGGAAAGTGCGTACAGCAACTCCTACGCCGGTTTCCCTTTATAAATCACAATCGACTCGAAATGTGGTGCAGCTTTTGCGGGCTTCACGTAACGCCCATATTTGCCTATAAATAGTCAAAGAAACGCCCATTCATTCATTTTGACTGACTGCATGAAGAAGATAGCAGGAAATGACGACAGAACAGCTAAAAAAAGACATCTCACACCGTGTCAGATTCTGGTTATTTTGGGGAGGTGGAGATAAATCATATTGTTTGGTGGATGCCGTTTGAACCAGAGTAGCAGCATGGAGGTCGGATCGTCACCAAAATAAATAAATAAGTGGTCCGAAAAAGGTTCATGACAAAAACAATACACATAGCCTTCCTCAGGCAGAGTGTTTGTACCGGGGACAGGAGACCCCCCCTTGATGAGAGACTGTAAGAAGTGATCGGGGAATCCCTCCGGAGTGGAGTCATGACGACTGGATCTGAATTATGTTTTAGTATTTGGTGGTTTGTGTCCCAGCTGTCGATCAGCTGTGCGCAGCCTCTCCACTGCAGCAACTCTATATCCACCAGTTAAAGGAAATACAACTAATGTGTTGTGTTATATTAGCTGTACAATTTACCACATATGGTGTTCTTAGTTTCCATACCTCCTGTGTTTTATGAGCGACTTATCAAGTCTTAGCAAACGGCATAAAACATGATTAAACATGGTAGTATATAAAACCATGCTCGTACAACCTATAGAAATGCAAAACCGCATCATTTATGAGAAAACATTTCATAACATTAACACAACATATTCGAGGTGGTTTTAAATAACATATCCGTATTTATTTATTTCTCCAAGTTATGTTTTTGTGTGCACTGAGGAGTCTCAAACAGGCGTTTGTTTAATCATTTTAAGATTGGCTTTAATCAATGTTTGAAAATGAATTCTTCATATATGATAAATGAGAGGTGTAGTGCCGAGAGATAGGGATTTATTCACAAGCTGCAAAGGACATGTTGTCGGGTCACAGCCCGGGTCGACAAGAGAGTGAAGTCAGGAGGGCACACAACATATATAGTAAACACATAACATGTCCGTGTGGGAACAATAGCCCCAACTGTAGTTCCATGTATGAATTATGTCCCAGTGTATTAATAGGTGGTCACCACACAAGCCCCCCCAGAATTCAAACATGGCAAACAAATATATATCCCCACGTCCGTGGAGGAAGCACCACAAGGGCCGAGGAGGGTGGGGCCGCAGGTGAGGACCGGGCCATGGAACAGGCCACGAAAGGGGGCCGCAGGAGAGGGCAGGAGGCCTAACGAGGGCGAGGGCACCCACACCGGGGGCGGGCCGTCGTAAGGGGGCCGCAGTAGGTGTCGCGGAGAACCCAGCAGGAAAGAGCGCAACCCGGCCGCAGGCAGACGCACAACGGCGGCGGGCACGAAGTCCTCGGCAGGCGTCGAGGTATCCCCGGAAGAGAGGAGCAGTCCCCCCGGGAGGAAGGAGCGCAACCCGGCCGCAGGCAGACGTGCAACGGCGGCGGTCACGAAGTCCTCGGAAGGCGTCGAGGCATCCCCGGGAAGCAGGAGAGCATCCCGGCCGCAGGCAGACGTGCCGCGGCGGCGGGCATGAAGTCCTCAGCAGATGTCGAGGTATCCCCGGGAAGCAGGAGAGAAACCCGGCCGCAGGCAGACGTGCCGCGGCGGCGGGCATGAAGTCCTCAGCAGGCGCGGAGGCATCCCCGGGAAGCAGGAGAGGCCAGACAGGGTCCCGGAGCGCGCCACCCATGGGCCGATGGAGCATGGGCGACGTCCGGAACTGTCGAGGCGAGAGGGGGTCCAGGAGTGCGCCACCCAGGCGCCGATGAACGTGAGTGGCGTCTGGATATCCCCGGAAGGGCAGGAGAGGCCAGACAGGCTCCGGAGCGCGCCACCCACGGGCCGATGGCAGCATGGGCGACGTCCAAAACCGTCGAGGCGAGACGGGGTCCAGGAGTGCACCACCCAGGCGTCGATGAAAACGTGAGTGGCGTCTGGAACCGCTGTGGAGGTGGTGAAAAAATGTGGAGAGTGTCCATCTGAGGTCAACCGGCTGGTCGAACCTCCTCTCCGGCACCAGAAAAAAAGCAAAAACTCAAAAGGGTCGATAGCCGTTAGCTGTTGCCGTTAGCTGGCAGCCACCGGTAGCTGCTAGCCGTAGTTAGCCAACGTGGTTAGCTGCTAGTTGTCGTTAGCTAGCGCAGCTGGGACGTGCAGCCGCACGCCACGAAGAAACAACCCCACGAGGTAGCAATCGGGTTCATCCCTACCCAGCAGGTCGTGCATCGTCCCCCCTGTAGTCGGAAGGCAGATGCGGGAATGGCGAGCAACATCCTCAGCCATTCCATGAGGCGCGCACCGAGCCTCAGTCCGCGTGCCTGTAGCAGCTACGGTCGACTCCAAAAAATCCCCGGCATTTCGAGAAAGAAACCTGGGTTTCCTTTGCCGTGTTCGGGTCCATCTCGGAAACTTCCCAAGACGCTGTCGGGGTCACCAATGTAGTGCCGAGAGATAGGGATTTATTCACAAGCTGCAAAGGACATGTTGTCGGGTCGCAGCCCGGGTCGACAAGAGAGTGAAGTCAGGAGGGCACACAAACATATATAGTAAACACATAACATGTCCGTGTGGGAACAATAGCCCCAACTGTAGTTCCATGTATGAATTATGTCCCAGTGTATTAATAGGTGGTCACCACAGAGGTAACATTTTATTGATGGTATTATTTCCACATATTTATCTCCATTCTTCCTTCTGCCAACGGTGTCGCAGTTTCTCGTCTCTCCCGTTGTTGTGCTTAGTGCGTACGCATGGGTTAGAGTTTGCGTGGAGGACCGCACGTTTTCCCGTCAAGTTAGTATTTTATAAATCGCAAAGATTGCGTAGAAACTGGCGTACGCCATCTTTTGAGCATATATCCCTTTATAAATGAGGCCCCAGAGAACACAGACTGAAATACTGGACCAACTGAACCCCTTCAGTTTAGTTTCAGAATCTCTCTGAATAATAATAATAATAACAGTAATAATAATAATAACAATAATGATATTAATAATAGTGAATGTGTGCTTTCTGAGGTTAAAGGGACAACTTTTGCATTCATGCAGATTTCAAGAATATTGTTTTTAATATTGCTGTGTCTCAACGTGTTTTCTGAAGATAAAATCCAGCTTGAATAAAGCGGTTGAAACTCTGCCTCTATCAACAGTTATATCTGATCATGCAAAGTGGAGGGAAATGCAAATAGGCCAACTGTGAGAAAGCCTCTCCATTCTCCAATCTGTCGACCGTGGATTCGTTACATCATTTCTCGTGAGAGAAACATTATAGTATAAGTGGCATGTCTTTTTTTTATAAACCTCTTCTCATATTTTTAAATCTGAATTTAAAAAGCTATTTGTGCTCATGATATAAAAATAAGAGGCGATGTTTGCTTACCCTGCAGCGAGACAAAACACACGTTGGTTCCTGCTTTTATATCAAGAGCAGATGGTTCTACAATAAAACTGTTTTTAGATACACTGGTAAATACAATTAAAATAATATGTAACCTTTAAGTTACTTACATTTGTATGAATATTTGTAATGCCCATATTATTCTTCAAACTGTAAACTGTTTAATTAAAACAGTCATATGAGAATACCCTGAAAATGAAGTAAGGCAAGGCAAGGCAAGGCAAGTTTATTTATATAGCACTTTCCAACACAAGGCAATTCAAAGTACTTAGTAGTATTTTGATGTGCATTCCTTATGATCACATATACCGGTGTCTGTGACGTGTTTATTCGTTGTGTGCACTTTGTTCACAGAAACTGCAGCAAAGCAGTCTTTTGGGGAAGCTGGTCAAATGTCACAACGTTAGGACAGTTCCTGTTTCTTGCAGAGATAGAGAAAAACGTGTCCATGCTTTTATCTTCAGTAGACTCGACTACTGCAATAGTGTCTTCACAGGGCTCACTAACAAATCTATCAGAAAGCTGCAGCTGATTCAGAACGCTGCTGCTCGAGTGCTCACTGACACTAGAAAAGTGGATCACATCAGTCCGGTTCTGAGATCATTACACTGGCTTCCAGTCTGCCAAAGAACTGATTTTAAAATACTACTGCTAGTTTTTAAATCACTAAATGGCTTAGGACCGACGTATATAGACGACCTCCTCCATCAAAGCATCCAGGAGTCTCAGGTCTGCTCTCTGTTCCGAGAATAACCACTAAACATGGAAAAGCAGCTTTTAGTTATTATGCCCCAACAATCTGGAACAAACTGCCCAAATCGTGCACGTCCGCCGAAACACTTCCTATTTTTAATACCGACTAAAAACGTCTATTTGCCGCTGCTTTTAACTGAGCTGCCCATACTCACACTACAGTATGCCCTTTCAGTCATGTACTCTGTACCTGCTGTGTTTATTTATTTATTTTATTACCTTTGCTTATTATGCCTGCTTTTAATAATGTATTTGTTCTTAAATGTATTTTGCTTTTAATCTGTAAAGCACTTTGAATCGCCACGTGCTGAAAAGTGCTCTACAAATCAAATTGCCTTGCCTAAAAGAGGTTCATCTCAACAGGAGAGCAACAGAAAGCAGCAGTAAGATATATTTCTTTAAAAAAGTAGAAGCATGTGTTCTTACCTTTACATAGTTGAGACTGCAGAGACCTCAGTGCTGACAGTTCTGTGTTCTGGTTTTCATGTCTGAATATGTCCGATTACAACAGGAGTAGTTCACAGGGCTCTGGTTCACAGCTGGAGACAGAGGGGGCGTTTCCACTTTCAACGGCAGATCAGTGAGCAGTAGCCAATGAACGTCCTGATGTGAACCCTGTGAGTCCGTGTATCTTCGGATCATTTGGTTTTCTTTATTAACCCTTGTCTGTGGGAGCCGTTTTCATTATTTAGCTAAAGAAAAATGATATGATAAATAATTTGTTCAAACCCATTGTTACGTGCCGTAGTGTTTGTGTGGGTGTGGGTGTGTGTGTTTTTCTCTCTCTCCCTCTGATTTCCCCAGGTGCAGCCTGATTGTCCTCAGGTGCAGCCTCTCCCCAGGTGCTCCCAATCTCCAATCAGGGCCTCCATATAGGACAGGAGGAAGGTTGCAGTCTCTCTCCCCTTCTCCCCTGGCTGGATGTGTGCAGCGTGGTGTCCATGTCTCCAGTATATATGTTTGTATCTAGATTTGTTTTGCAAGTTGGCTGGTGAGCCCCTTTTCTTTTGGTTAATTAAAAGACCTGCTTATGGCTTCAGAGATCAGTTTCCTCTCCTTTTTCTCTCGGCCGGTTATTTTTTCGTGCTGTTACTTCCCTTTGTGGCCCTGGATCTAAAAGGGAACGTAACAAATTGGGGCTCGTCCATTCTTTGAGACAAGGAGTGAGTGTTTGTTGTGTGGTGTTGATGATTGTCTTTGGTGGTAGTAGTGGTATAAGTGTAGCATTGGCTGAATTATTTACTGTTGAACAGCTTCCTCAGTTTAGAGAGGGGAGGGTCTAGCTGGAATGAATCAGTCCTTCCTTCAGGCACTCATTTATTATTTTTCCTTTTTTATTTTCGGGGTAATCCTGGGTGGGGATTTATTCCCTGTTGGGGGCAGGCGATTCAGGGTTTCGGCCGCTGATGTTTGCCTTTTTTAAAATCGCGCCCGGCACGCTCCAGAAGATAGTTAGGTGAGTTTGGTAGGCAGGATCTGGGGAAGTATGTTCAAAAAAGAAGAAAAAAAAGTATAAGTAGCCATTAAGGATGGCTTTGTTTTGGAGCAGTTTGTGGCCAGTCCTACTGTGGGTCAACTAGACTTGTGTAGGAAGGTTGATTTGCAGTTAGTTGCTGCTCTTAGTTCCTGATCTCCCAACCCAGTCTCACACAAAAACGTGTAATAACTACGTTGGTCCACAACGTAGGACGTAGTATTTCTACAAAAACGCCTCTGAAATTGTAAGATCCCTACGTTTTTTTTCACCATTCATTCCAATGGCTGGCGTCTACAGTATGTCACGTGATCTTCAAATTTCTTCCTGCAGAAAAAAGAAACATGGCCAAACTTTAAACATTAAATGCGTTTTGATGTTATTTGATGCGAGAAATATGAGTTGTTATTTCAGATTATGTGTGCAGTGGATGCACATGATCTTTAGTTTGCTAGTTATTACGAAGATTACTTCAGGAAATTGTGTCTATACAACGTTTTCATTGTCACCAAGGTGGTTGCTAGGGATGCTGCTATCGATATTATTTCTGTTATACGTTAATTTCCCCTGTGCAATTCTCCATTTACTCAACAATAACACATAATTATCCTTGTGTTTATTTATTTAACTGTCCTGAGAGTGGAGGTCTGCAGGCACAGGCAGGCTCCCAATGGTCAGGACCGAGGGTCGGAGCAGCTCATTTGCTTTACAGAATATTACACCCGGAAGTAAGTATTCTCTCCGCTTCGCTTAACAAACACCGTGATAGTCCTCAAGCTCTGTGATTGGAGAGTGTGCCGAGCGTCGAACAGCACTTGAAATGGGATGGAACCACGGCAGACTGTCCAAAACTGGATTTGAACGGGTCCACCCCGTCCCCCCCTCCCCCACCCCTTTCCCAGAACTACACATGCTGGCTATTGTGTTTCGCGAACTTCGCAACATGCTCTATGGCACTCTTCGACTGGGAGTTGTAGTTTTAAAAGACGTTTTCGTATTTCCCATAATAAGAAGTGGCCAGTATTAAACTGTGTCCATCCCTGGAGGTTTAGGGGATAGGAAACACTCAAATGTAAAACATATAATTAATAAATGGGTGAAAATTGCTTGTGTCCATAATGGGCAGCATTACCCACATGCCAGCTAAGCTCAGAAGAGCTTTATTTAACAGCTGGTCTTATGTCTGTGACCCCTCCTGTTGTTAATTGACAAGCCTGAAACATGCACTTGTCAAGGTTCAGAGGCACATTTTGCAAATATGGCAGTAGCCATCGATCAGCTTAAGATAAGATATACTTTATTGATCTCTAGTTGGAAACATTTGCGTTACATCAGCATGTGTAACAGTTGTAAATATGCAGTGGTGTTTATTTGTAAATCATTTAGTATAATCACACAAATTCTGTGTTTTATATTTAATAATTCTGTGTTCTATATTTATTGATTGTTCAATACCTGACAATGCCGGAGATGAAAAACGTTGGTCGCAGATTCCTCAACAGTGCATTACAAGACATCTGATCAATATGTGTGTATACCTCCACCATTAAACTGTCGTATTCTGCACATTTATTATACTATCTACATACATCTTATATAAGAGTATAATACATATGTATAATATCAGTTAAAATAAGTGCTTCAACATAGTTAACATTGCTGGAGGTACGCACAAATATTTATAGATGTCTTGTAATGCACTATTGAGGAACCTGCGACCCAAGTTTTTCATTCATTGCATAACTACACCGTAGTTGTGTTTAATATGATATGTCAATAAACCTTAGAAAATCTTGAAATCTTGAAAGGGATGTGCAAAATAGTCATTATATACAGTGTTTAATTAACTATTAGTAGAGAATAACGAGTAATGAATATACTTTATAGGGATCCTATTAATATCTAATAATAAAAATAATGAAATTCAATAACATGCTTTAACCACTAGGTGTCCCTTTATATCAGCTGTGCACCTTTATGGTGTAAATACAGCCTATCTACCAATTGGATCAAATATATAAGTCAGCCGAATTAGTGTTGATACTGCAAGGAGACGTATTGTGTGAAAAGAAATGTAAGCTGTTGTTTAATGGCTGATATATTTATGATCCACGTCACGTTTTCGGTGTGGGCGGCAGTTCCTCATGTTTGTCTAGAAGTCTTCTCATCAGGGCTCTATAAATAGAGAACTACGGCAGATATGTAATATTTAATGCAGCCGAACCGTGTATTACAATGCCGGTATGTGATGACTTTCAAAGAGAAAAGCAAGCACACTCGGAATAAAGTGTTTTCGGTCTGTTTCCGGTATTTGTTTATGACGATGTGATGTGAGATGTGAGACTGGAATTACACAGGGGAAAATAACGTATCTATGCCACAATTTTAGATGCGGATTTTGTTAAACTAATACGTTTGCGCTGTGGACCAACACTATACATTGACGGGGAAGGGGTAGCAATAAAGATTACACCATTACACTGTTACACAACATAACAGAAATAATATCGATAGCAGCGTCACTAGCAACCACCTTGGTGACAATGAAAACGTTGTATAGACACAATTTCCTGAAGTAATCTTCGTAATAACTAGCAAACTAAAGATCATGTGCATCCACTGCACACATAATCTGAAATAACAACTCATATTTCTCGCATCAAATAACATCAAAACGCATTTAATGTTTAAAGTTTGGCCATGTTTATTTTTTCTGCAGGAAGAAATTTGAAGATCACGTGACATACTGTAGACGCCAGCCATTGGAATGAATGGTGAAAAAAAACGTAGGGATCTTACAATTTCAGAGGCGTTTTTGTAGAAATACTACGTCCTACGTTGTGGACCAACGTAGTTATTACACGTTTTTGTGTGAGACTGGGTTGGGAGATCAGGAAGCAGGAGCTGGAGCTGGAGATCAGGAAGTTGGAGTTGGAGAGAGACACTGCAGTCCGGATGCATCAATTAGAGATTCAGGCAGCTGGGGTGGGTGATTCTTCCGTTACACCTTCTGGTTCTGCTGCCACCTTTGACGTGACTAGACATATTTCTTTGGTCCCTGTGTTTCGTGAATCAGAGGTGGAAATCTATTTCGGTGCATTTGAGCGCATTGCTGCTGCTCTGCACTGGCCAGAAGATGTGTGGGCTATTATTTTACAGTGCAAGCTAGTCGGTAAGGCTCAAGAGGCTTGCTCTTCTCTTTCTGTCGAGGATAGTTTGGTGTATGAGAAGGTTAAAGGTGCTATTCTCAGGGTATATGAGCTTGTGCCTGAGGCCTACAGGCACAGTTTCAAATCTTGTTTTTTCGGGTTTCACATTTGTTTTTGCATACAGAGAGCACCATGTTAGTCTCTTCTGTCTGCAGCTGTTTCTTGCTAAGAGGGTTGAGAAACGTCTCCTTCTTCTTAACTTTAAATAAAGTCTTTAAAACGCCTCTTGGATCAGCCTGAACACAGTTTTTCTGAGAAACTCATGACTTTTAGAGGTTCCCAAACTGTTTCTGTCAGGCCCCCAGTGGGTAATGGGAAATATTAACCATTATTTAACCCAAACCCGGTTCCCACGTAGATTGGTAGGATTTATAGTATTTTTAATAATGAGATAATAAGAATGACCCACATTCAGTCAGATCAGTGCAGACTGTTCACTGACTCTCCTGCTGTGACTGATCACTCAGAGTTGGAAAGTAACTGCACAAATATGACGTACTTGTACTTTACTTGAGTATTTCCATTGTATGCTACTTTATACTTCTACTCCAAAACATTTACTTAACAGCTTTAGCTTCTTGGAACAAAATGCATCTCTAAAAACAGTGGACTAACTGTTTGAGTTATAGAAGACTCCAATTATTTAAATATTTTACAAAAAGTTTGTCTCCATGCTACTTCATGCAGCAATATTATCTATAAATGTCACATATATTAATATAATTACACATAGAGGCAATTTGTATGCACAATGATTGCGTTTTATACTTTAAGTACATTTTGCTGATAATACTTTTGTACTTTTACTTGAGCAAGATTTTGAAGGCAGGACTTTAACTTGTGATGAA